AGAAAAACACATGCAGGGAGAGGCGGTGAAGGAACCAGGCTGGTTTAGAGAGGGAACACAACGTTCTCTTAGTACCTAAATAAATAAAATAAAATAAATAAATAAATAAATAAATAAATAAAATATATTAATTAATTAAATAAAATAAAATAAATAAATAAATAAATAAATAGATAAAATAAACGAAACAAACAAACCGAAAACAAAGCACAAAAAAACAAAACAAAATAAAATAAAACAAAATGAAATAAAAACAAAACAAAAAAAACAAAATAAAATAAAATAAAATAAAATAAAATAAAATAAAATAAGTAAAATAGAATAAAATAAATACCTGGTGTATGATGAGTGCATGCAGCAACTTAACACAGGAGAAAAGAGAAAAAACAAAACAAAAAAAACAAAACAAAATAAAATAAAATAAAATAAAAAAATAGAAGCAAAACAGATAAAATAAAGTAAACTAATATAAAATAAAACAAAGTCAAAACAAATTAAACAAAACGCAACAAAATAAAAAAATAAAAAAATAAAAAAATAAATACCTGGTGTATGATGAGTGCATGCAGGAGCTTGACAGAGAAAAAGATAGAAAAAAGGAGAAAAGAGAAAAAAACAAAACAAAACAAAATAACAAAATAAAACAAAACACACAAAAAAAATAAAATAAAATATATAAAATAAAAGCAAAACAAAAAAACAAAACAAAAAAAAAAATAAATAAAAAAATAAATACCTGGTGTATGATGAGCGCATGCAGCAACTTAAAACAGGAGAAAAGAGAAAAAACAAAACAAAACAAAACAAAACGAAACAAAACAAAATAAAATAAAATAAAATAAAATAAAACAAAGTCAAAACAAATAAAACAAAACAAAACAAAATAAAAAAATAAAATAAAAAAATAAATACCTGGTGTATGATGAGTGCATGCAGGAGCTTCACAGCAGCATGTGGGGCCCACTTAGCTTTATGGAGACAACCAAAATATTTTTGTTTAATTAAAGTTTCTTGGTTTTTATTTATTTTATTTTTTTTTCCGAGTATAGCATCTCTTAGTGTAGCGAGAGTAAGAGAAAAAGAAGAAGATACAGAAAATATACCACTCACAAATGCAGCAACCTGCATATAAATAAATATAAATAAATAAATAAATATAAATTAATTAAAATAAATAAAAAAAAATAAAAAAAAATAAATAAAAATAAAGAAAATGGTTTTTGTTTGGGGTTTATAAGAGAGAAAAAGAAGAAGATACAGAAAATATACCACTCACAAATGCAGCAACCTGCATATAAATATAAATAAATATAAATAAATAAATAAATATAAATTAATTAAAATAAATAAAAAAAAAATAAAAAAAAATAAATAAAAATAAAGAAAATGGTTTTTGTTTGGGGTTTATACGAGAGAAAAAGAAGAAGATACAGAAAATATACCACTCACAAATGCAGCAA